TGTCTCCATTTCCCAAGTATTGGGATTACAAACACATGGCTAGGCCTGGTTTACCCAGTTTTATTGGGATCCAGGATCAAAGCCTTCCTGCATGCTAAGCAAGCACACCATTGACAGAGCTGTATCCCTGGCCTCTAGTTCTTTAAAAACAAAAACAGGGCACTGGAGAGATGATTCAAAAACAAAAACAGGGCACTGGAGAGATGATTCAACAGTTAAGAGCACTGCCTGCTCTTGCAGAGTTTGGTTCTCAGCACCCACATAGCAGCTAACAACCAACCCTAACTCAGTTCCAAGGGATCCAACTCCCTTTTCTGGACTCTGCAAGTATTGTAAGACACAGATGCACTTACATACATGCAGGCAAAACATTCATATGCATAAAATAAAAATAAATCACTGCCAGGTATAACGGTGCACACCTTTAATCCTAGCACTCAGGAGGCAGAGGCAGGAGGATAGAGATGAGTGCAAGGCCAGTCTAGTCTACATAGTGAGTTTCAGGCTAGCTTGGGCTACAGGGAGACCCTATCTCAAAAAATAAATAGGGGGCTGGAGAGATGACTCCTGTTATAAGCACTGGCTGCTCTTGCAGAGGACCCAGGTTCAATTCCCAGCACCCACATGTCAGCTAACAAGTGTCCATAACTCCAGTTCCAGGGGAATTCAACACCCTCTTCTGACCTCCTCAGGCACGACACAACACGGGTACACTTACATACATTGCAGGCAATACACTCATACATATAAAATAAAAATAATTTGGTCTTTTTGAGACAGGGTCTCCCTGTAGCCCCAGCTGGCCTGGAACTCACTATGTAGAACAGGCTGGCCTTGAACTCACAGAGATCCACCCACCTCTGCCTCCCGAACGAATGCTGGAATTAAAGATGTGCACCACCACACCTGGCAAAATATATTTAAAGTTAATAGGGGACTGGGGGCTGGAGAGATGGCTCAGCGGTTAAGAACACTGTTCTTGCAGAAGACCCAGGTTCGAATCCCAGCACCCACATGGCAGCTAACAACTGTCCATAACTCCAGTTGCAGGGGATCTGACAGCCTCTTTTGTCCTCCTTAGGCATTTCACTACACAGGTGCACTTACCTACATGTAGGCAGTACACGCATACATATAAAAAATAATATTTTAAATAAATAAAATGGACTGTGTTGCTGGCTTAGCAATTAAGAGAACTGGTTGCTCTTTCAGAGGGACCCAGGTTTAGTTCCCAGCACCCACATGGCAGCTAAAAACTGTCTGTAACTCTAGTTCCAGGAGATCGAATGCAAATTTTTAAAGAAATAACACAAGTCAGTCAAAACTGGGCATGCCTTTAAAGGCCCATGCCTTCAATCTCACCACTCAAGATTGCAGAGGTAAGTGGATCTCTGTGAGATTGAGGCCAGCCTGGTCTACGTACCGAATTACGGGCCCGCTGGGGGTACAGAGGGGCCCTGTGTCAAAAAAACAAAAATAGATAAATAGCCAAGTGTGGTGGCATACACCTTTAATCCCAGCACTGGGGATGCAGAGGCAGGTGAATCTCTGAATTTGAGGCCAGCCTGATCTGTATAGTGAGCTCCAGGCCATCTGGGGCTACAGGGAGACCTTGTCTCAAAGAAAGAAAAAAGAGAAAGGAGTAAAACAGATGGGGAGAAGTACCAGGAGGAAGAAGGCCCGAGAGGGTCAGAGCGGAGAACGCCCGACCTGCTGTCTCCCTCTTGCTTTGGCCACACCTACCACCGCCAAAACAAAAAAACAAAGAAAAGATGGAAAGAGGAAAAACCTAACAGTCCCCCCAGGGACCTAAGGTAGATGGTCAGTGATGAGCAGGAGGCCAGGCCTCAGGAGAAATGAGACCTCAGTTTCCTGAGCACAATGGCTAGGAATAACCAAGAAAGAAAAAAGAATGTGAGGGAAGATTGATTTTTCTTCACAAAGTAGCTTTTCTTCTTTCCTGTCTTGAATCTACAGTTCTTGCCAGGAAGCTGGCTTGAGTGTAAATTGTTAAATTAGCACACCTAATTTCAGTGAGGACTGAAGGGCTACAGGAAAGAGGAGAATCTTGAAATCATGCAGTTGAACCCCAATTGTATAGAAAAGAAGTTGGAGGGGGGTTATGTGGCTTGTAGATACAATCCGTAAGTCATCAATTCCTATTAGAACCTTTGCTGACATAGTATAGGAGGCTCCAGGTATCCAGACGCAGTGCCAAGTTTATCCTAACATAAGCTTCATTGCATTAAACATCACATTGCCACCCTAGCTAGTGAACACCCTGTCAGAGCATGAAGGGAACATGCAGTCATCCAGTTTTATCTACACTGGACTCTCTACCTCCTGAATCCTGAAAATAAATCGTCTTATTTCAGTAAGTACTTTTTTTTTTGGTCTTTTTGAGACAGGGTCTCCCTGTAGTCCCAGCTGGCCTGGAACTCATTATGTAGACCAGGCTGGCCTTGACCTCACAGAGATCTGCCTGCCTCTGCCTCCTGAGTGCTGGGATTAAAGGTGTGCGCCACCACGCCAGGCCTAGTACCCACTTTTTAAAGGAAGTTGGCCCTGAAATTATGTAGGCAATAAATCTGCATTCTGTGGTCAGTGCTTCTATTTTATGCCCAAAGCCCTGCGGCTCTCAGGCCTCTGGCTGAGGGTTAGGCCCCACTTCCGTCATATGGACTTGGAATCTGCTGTTTCTATCAGATCCTTTAATTAAATATTCAATGCACACACTTGTTTTGATGTCAAAATTGCACCTGTCACTATCATCCAAAGGCTGCACTCACATGCATTTTTAAGTACATAAATCACCAGATGCATGTTTTAAAAAATTAAACAAGGGCTGGAGAGATGGCTTAGCAGTTAAGAACACTGGTTGTTCTTGCAGAGGACCCAGTTTCAAATCCCAGTACCCATATGGTGGCTAACAACTCTCTGTAACTCCAGGTCCAGGGGATCCATTTCCCTCTTCTCTCCTCCATGGGCATTTCACAACACTGGTGCACTTACATATATGCAGGGAATACATGCATATACATAAAATAAAAATAAATATTTAAAATTTTTTAATTAAAAAATTAAACAAACATTATGTCATAATTGCTATTTTGAAACACAGGGATTGGTACCAGCCTAAGAGACATCTAGTGAACCATTGGCAGCATCCTGCCCACTGATGGGGATGGGGCTCTGCACTGCCCCCCTCTGCACTCTAGCCTGGTCCTAGCCTTGGAATCATTCACAGAAGTGTGTTTTCTGCTTTCAACCACACAGGGTCCAGAGTAGGTTCATGTGAAAGGATGCAGTGGAAGCTCTAGAACTTTCTAACTACAGTTGGGAAATTTGTTTTTATTTTATACCAAAGAAATTTGTATTATAAACAGTAAATGCTGGGGAGATGGCTCAGTGAGTAAAGTGCTTGCTGCACAAGCATGAATGAGGACCTGAGTTCTGATGCCAGCTCCCATATAAAAAGCCTGGTGTGAGCCAGGTATGGTGGCGCCACCTTTAGTCCCAGCACTTGAGAGGGAGAGGCAGGCGGATCTCTGTGAGTTCAGGCCAGCCTGGTCTACAAAGTGAGTTCCAGGCCAGCTGGGACTACAGGGAGACCCTGTCTCAAAAAACAAGCAAACAAACAAAAAGCCTAATGTTTTGGGCAATGCTGAACACACTGTAACTCCAGCACTAGGGTGGAGACAGGAAGATCCAGAGGGTTTTCTGGTCAGCCAATCCAGCAGAAACAGTGAGATCCAGGTTCAGTGAGAGATCTTGTCTCAGAAAATAAGACAGAGAGTGGTAAAGGAAAACACCCAACATCTGACCTCTACACATGCACTCACAGGCAAGCATACCTGCACATACATATGCACACTATACATGTGTGTATACGACACACACACTAATAAAAAAATTTGCTTAAAATAAGTGTCCAGTATGAGTAGTTAAAAGTAGTTTCAGGGACTAGAGAATGTAATTCAATTGGCAGAGTGCTTTCCTCACAGGCACAAAGCTCAAGCCCTGGGTTCCATTCTTAACGCTGAATAAAAATGGATGTGGTGATACACACATGTGCTCCAAGCACAGGAGGTAGAGGTAGAAGCATCAGAGGTAGAAAGTTATCCTCAGCTACATAAGCAAGTATAAGGCCAGCCTGAGCTATATGAGACCCTGTCTCAGAAAAAAAAAAAAAAAAAAAGTTACTTAGAACTCTGGAAAAAGATATTTTGGCTCCTTTGCTCTACTCTATGACTTTGAGGAAATCAGGTTCTGCCTAACCTTTTTCTTCAGCCATCCTCCCTCACCTCTCTGGTTGGTGGTGCTGTTTGGGGAGATTATGGAACCTTTAAGGCGTGAAGCCTTGCTGATGGAAGTACATCACTGGGGATGGGCTTTGAGAGTTTATAGCCTCGCCCTACTTCCTGTTCACTCTCAGCTTCCTGCTCTGGCTGCCTGCTGCCTCCCTGACACCATGAATTCTCGCCCTTCTGGAACTGTAAGCTAAAATAAAGGCTTTCATCTTAATGTTTGGGTCATGGTATTTTATCTTAGAAAGATAAATGGATATAACTGGCATTTTCCCCTTTCCCTGTTTCCTGGTCAGTGCCATGGACCAAGCTGTTCCCAGCATTCTGCCTTCCCCACCATGATGGACTGCACTCCTCTGAACTGTGAGCTAAAATAAACCCTCTTCCCTTAAGTTGCTTTTTGTCAGCTATTTGACCACAGCCCCCCCAAAATAAAGTAACTAATATGTTGATGAAGTCAGCTATCAATTTTATCCCTAATAACCACCAACACATAGCAAATAAGAATGTATCTGTCACCAGGTTCTCTTTTTTGGTTATCAAAAAGTTACCTGAAATCCAGGATCACCCTTCTCTCCCTTTTTCCCAGGAAATCCATGAAATTCCTAAAAGAAGATAAAGAAAACAAAATATCTTTTAAAAAAATATCAACCCCATAATGGCTTTTTGATAACACAAAAGAAAAGCGATGACTTACTTCTTCTCCATCCAGCCCATCAAATCCACTCTCTCCATCTTTTCCCTAGGCAACAATAGGCAATCGTCAGGTAAAGACAAAGATAACCAAGCCATCAGGAAGTCTTGACAGGTGCGTATTAGAAAATGAATCCCAATTAGGAAATCAAACTTAACTGAGAAAAAAGTACAATACCTTAGATCCAGAAAATCCTTTGGCTCCCTGCAAAAGATTAAAAGCTGTCACTGATATCTCAAAGGCAGGTGAGGATTCATGGACTACGGCGACTACGGCAAGAAGCGGCTGCCTCTCCTGAGAAAGTCATCTTGCATTATCTCTTCAGTTGCTTCTGGCTATACATCCATGAAAGAGAGTTTGATCGATGCTCAAGACTCCGCAGTTATTAAGAAGCAGGACTAATCTTCAAACAAAGAAACTAACAAATGTAACTGGAGGTGGGAAAAGAGGAAGGGATCATGGGAAAGAGAAAAGAGGAGTGAAGGAATCAAAGAGGAGGGAGATGTTACAGGGAAGTAAAAAGACCAAGCCAGCAGAAAGCTTACCTTTTGACCCTGTGTCCCCGGACATCCTGCAATCCCTCTGTCTCCTTGAGGTCCAGTTTCTCCTCGTGCTCCCTAAGAAAAGGAATCCAAACATATCTCCAAAGTGACACTTGTGCCAGAAGCTGTTATCAGTTCGCTTTTAGAGTGCTGAGCTAGAGCACTTGGCATCCTGAGCTTTAAGCAAGCTAAACTCCCTGTGAGTTTGCTCAATTAAATGTGCCTTTCCCCTGAGTTCATGCACTTTCACTGTCAGCCTTCGGGCTCCTTCACAGATCATGACTAGGTTCAAGATGAGCTCTGCTACTTCACTCACTCATCAGACAGTGCGGCCAAAGACCCAGAAGTCACTTTCCCTTCCAGCCCCATTCCTGACTGCTCTAGTGATCCTTGCTCATCATGACTTCTTGCCTAGGGCCCTGGGAAAGATGGAACTGCTGATTCAAAGGAGTTCAATGTCAGGGGCGAGAGCTGAGCTCAATCAGTGGGAAGAGATGTGACTTCAAGAACAAGAAGTGAAGGCAGGAGAGCCAGCCCTTGGGGCTGGGAAGACGCCCAGTTGGTAACGTGCTTGCTGTGCCAGTGTGAGGCCTTGAGTGTGATCCCCAGCACCC